TAGATGAAAGTATGTGGAAGAAGTATCATTTGGCGCACAGCATTCACACTAAATAATAGTGTCCATCATGGAATAATAAAACAATTGAGAATAATGTAATTTCCCCCAGCACTGTCTCTTCTCATACTCACAACTCGGAGTGTCTTTGTTCAACTTCAACACTGTTCTCATCATGTTTCTACATTAGGCCCCTATCAATAAAGCCTTCTGCAGAGCACCTTTAGTGGGGGCATAATGAAGCTTATTACCAAGAGGCACAACACTGGGGAATCATCCGGAAACCTGAGAATAAAAGCGTGTGTTGACCTTTTAATAGCGACTAAATAAACAGTTTATGGCCTGTGAAAGGAACAAATTAGCTCAAGCTTCTGAAAGATAAGACTAACACTGATAACAGACATCTTTCAGAAGAGACAAGACAATATAACAACATAAAAACTAGATTCTTTGCAAGTAATCAAATGTCCAAAAATGACGCTGGAGGCGTTATGCTGTATTTTTGAAGCGTTAGATCACGGACCATGACTGCAGTGCTTCACGAGTTGGTAAAGATTACACATTGACAGAATGGAGCAGATGTGAAGACCAGCTCCAAGTTCACTTACAATGTTAATGAATTTACAGAAATGTATACAAACTAGTTGTTGGAGGTTTAATCTTTGTCTTTACAGCAAAAAGCACCAACAACACTTAAAATGTTCTATTTAAATTTGAAGTATTAACCAAAGTTGTGAGTACGGAGAGCTAAGAGCCCACAGGTGATGAGATCAGAGCAGGAAGGAAAAGCAGAGAATTTCTCAAACACATGTTTACGTTTCTCCATGAATAAACTCTGCAGCTTCATAATGCCAAAGTGATGTCGTGTTTATTCCCAAAGTGAGCAACAGCCCTGGAGACAACACACATCTCCTCAACCACAGAGGAACAAATATTGCAACAGTAGACAATGTATGTATAAGGTTTTTATCCAAGGCTGAATATTCACTGAATGTTAATTTCATTGTTAGTATAGTCCTGCACACCAGCAGTTGCATTCACCCCCGGGCTCCCCTAAAGCAACGGTGTTATTCCAGAGCTGTAAACAACCCAAGGTAGAATTTACACTACAAGTATAACCAAAAAACAGTAAGTCACTTCTACTAACAATAAAGCCAATAAGAGTATAAATAATGAATAGATGTTGCTGGTAGCATGTGTAAATAAACTGGGGGTCGTTATGAACAGGTCATTCTGAGACAGCTCTGAGGAGGAGCGCTCTTCATCCTGAAGTGGTACCTGTCAGTCCTGTCCTCAGCGTGGGCTTAAAAACCCAGAGAGGAGTTATTGGACGACAAGGAGGCTGAGTGGAAGAGGAGGAAGAAGAGGAGGAAGAGGAGGGGCAGATGGAGTAGAGAGGATGAAACATCTGCACGGCATGGGAGATGACAGAGCTGAAGTGACGGAGGGCCGGGCAGCTTTGGGAGACGAGAGACAGACAGAGGGAGGAAGAGGAGGAAGAGGAGACGGGACTGCTGGCCTGCTGCATGAGACATGAAGCAGAGAGAGACAGAGAGGAGGGAGCTGCAGGTTTCTCTTGGACGGAACATGTAAACCTAAAATGGAATGCAGAGCTGCTATATTTGTGTGTTTGAAGCAAAGGAAAACTCAGCTTTCTGGACCCTCTTTTATCTTGAAGCATTTTGTAGGACTTTAAAGTCATCAAAACTCAGCTGAAGTTAAAGAGCATCTTGCAGGTTTTTTTTTTTTCTACATTTATGCTTAAACTTGCTTGAAAATTACAATTAAAAAAGTGAATGTAGGATTTGATATGTTTTACGAGACATAAGGGCAGGAATTCACAGGGAAAGGAGCAATTTTGAGCTCTGCTCTTAAAAACGGCTTTTTTTTAAGGTCATACGTCAAACGCGTCATATTACATCACAAAGGGTAAACATCTCCACTCTCTGACCGCGGGTATAGTTAATAGTTGCGTTGAGTTGAGCGGTTGTGTTTTAGTGAGCTGGTATTTTTCGGTAGTTTTACATTGTATTTCACCATTTGTAATCATGGTGCAGTATTGTGTTTGTGCAGGTTGCACAAATACCAGCCTGTCAGGACATCGAGTCCACAGTAAAAAGGACCGGAGCTAGCGTTCGTTCCTGGGTGCGTTGTGCATCCACCTCCCTGCAACAAATACTCTCCACAGCTTTATCAGGAAACCGTATTACTTCTCTCTCCCCCCCTTCGCTGCTCTCTCTCTCTCTTCCCTGCGGTACACGGCACCGTAAGACGTAGTGTGGAGTTGCATTAGGTAACGCTGTGGTGGCTGTACTGCTCCAGCCGTCTCCTTTGTGTTTGTTTGTTTCCCCCTGTCTGTGTTGTTTGTGTGGGCGTGGCTGTCACTCCTGGCTCCCGGTTCAACCTCCACCC